ATGGGGAGCTACAAAACACTCACCATCAGAGACAGGAGCAGCCTCCTCAAAGTGGGGACAAGTTTATAGCAGGTGAAAGCCTCCTCAAAGTGTGAATAACCCAGAGTATCTACACTGCCAGGATTTTGAACCAAGTTCTAGTTCCAGCACACTGACACTTGAGTGCCATGACAAAAATGTTCTACACTTGCCCATTGCTCTTGGAAAAGGTACTCAATCTTGTACTACTCATCCTATTTTTAGTCATATTTCATATGTAAAGTTGTCCCCAGGGTTCCGTGCTTTCAATACTATGTTGGACAGTACAACGATACCAAGAAATATACATGAGGCTCTCAATGATCCAAAATAGAGAGATGTTGTCATTGAAGAAATGAATGCTCTAGAAAGAAGTGGAACTTGAGAGACAGTGATACCAAAGGAAAACAGGCAGTAGGATGAAAATGGGTGATTATAATAAAATTCAATGCAGATAATAGCATCAACAGATACAAGGTAAGATTGGTTGTGAAGGGGTTCATCCAGACTCACAGGATAGATTACCATGAGACTTTTGCTCTAGTTGCTAAGGTCAATACCGTCTGAGTTCTCTTATCACTTGCTACCATCCTAGATTGGCCTCTGCAATAGTTAGATGTAAAAAATGTGTTCCTAAATGGTGATTTACATGAAGAAGTCTGTATGGATCCTCCAACAGGCTTTAAAAAGGGAGATGGATCAGTGTGTAAACTAAAAAAGGCTCTCTATGGGTTGAAACAGTCTCCTAGAGAATGGTTCCATAATTTCACACAAGCTGTCAAAGGATGAGGCTTCATTCAAGTACAGACTGATCATACTCTCTTCCACAAACACTCTAAGGATGGTAAAATTGCTATTCTTATTGTGTACGTGGATGATACAGTTCTTACAGGTGACGATAATGAGGAATTGAACTCCTTGAAGGAGTATCTAGCAGCTCAGTTCGAACTAAAAGACCTTGGAACTCTTAAATATTTCCTTGGTATGGAAGTTGCTAAGAGCAAAGCAGGCATCACTCTCTCACAAAAGAAGTATGTTCTAAATCTTTTGCTGAAAACAGGAATGTTAGAATGTAAGCCTGCCGAGACACCTGTGGAACCTAACACCAAGTTAGGTATTGAAGATGGGAACGATGTGGACAAAGAGCAATATTAGAGATTGGTTGGCAAACTAATTTACTTATCCCACACGCAAACTGACATTGCCTTTGCCGTGAATATGATATTAGTCAATTCATGCACTCACCCAAGGATAAACATCAAAGTGCAGTCTATAGGGTGCTTAGATACCTCAAGAAAACTCCAAGCAGAGGATTATTCTTTAGAAAGGGGTATAATCGGACAATTGAAATCTATACTGATGCAGATAGGGCAGTTTCATTAGTGGACAGGAGATCTACCTCAGGCTATTGCACCTATATGTGGGAAAATCTTGTAACTTGGAGAAGCAAAAAATAAACAGTGGTCGTAAGAAGTAGTGCTGAAGCAGAATTTCGAGCTTTAGCTCATGGAGTCTGTGAGGGAATATGGTTGGGAAGACTTCTTGAAGAGTTGAAGATCTTATATTCCCTACCAATAAAATTATATTGTGACAACAAGGCAGCTGTTAGCATCGCTCAAAATCCAGTTCACCATGATTGAACAAAGCATATGGAAGTTGATCATCAAAGAAAAACTAGATGATAGAAGTATGTGTATGATGTACGTTCCTACCAAAGAGCAGACTGCAGGTATCCTCACTAAGGGCCTACATCGGCCAGCCTTTGAAGACCTGATTGGCAAGTTGGGAATGATCAACATTTACCTCCCAACTTGGGGGGGAGTGTAGGAAATTAGGATATTTAAATTTTTGAATTTGTTGAGTCATGATAGGATAGGATTGTTGAGTCATAATAGGATAGGACTGACGACTCATTGCTAAGTCATTCTTATTTATTTTTTCATTTTTAACTTGTATAAATACCTCATATTGGTGTAATCCTAGTGTATCAATACAATAAACTCTTTTTTACATCTTTCAATAGTCATGGAACAAAAAAGTGGATAAAGGTTGATTGGTTTTGTTGAAATTTGAATCTTGCTTGTCAATAGCAAAAGTAAAATACAACATGGCATGTTTTGTACAAGTTATACATGCAAGTAGATGGCAAAGAAGTGGCCCATTTATAATCTTGTATTGACAAATTTATATTATCTTCTGATAGGAACCAGACAGAGATCGTACGAAACATAAGAAACAATGGATATTTTATTGATATTCCAGATACCATAATGATATTAGCGGTGTGTACAACAGAAAAGATGGAAACAAAATGTATAGCCAGGGCATTCAAGAGACCCTGTCTCTCCCAAGTCTCTGCTCCAAAATAACTCTCGTTTACCCACAATATACTCCCTGTTCGTATATAAATTCTACCATGCAACCATAAAGATTCCCAAATCTTCTCCGAATCACAATTTGTTACGCAAGTCAGTATGAGTAGGGTCTGATCCCCTATGGCCCCTCCTTGTGTACACTTTTATGGGCTTCCTATCATCTTACTAGTTGATTATTAAGCTTAGAATCAAGCTAGGTTGTCAGTAGCGGCCCGTAGCGCCGCTAATCCGCTACCGTAGCGGGTAGCAGCTGTCGGCCGCTACAAACCGCAACGCTACGCAACATTGGCCGTAGCGGAAGGTAGCGGCGTAGCATAGCGGCAATACCGTTGCACCACTCCAATGTTGGAATTTGATGGGGAATCCGGAGATGATGATGATTTTCTTCATTAGTCCACTTCTTGTACTTGACTATTTGACAATTTTATTGTTCATTTGTGTTTAGTTTTGGATCCTTCCTTTATGTTCCTTGTATTTAACATTGATTGTGGAATTATGTGTTTGATTTTGTGTGACTTCTTATGTTTGAGCATTAATACTAAAAGCGGTATTGCCTCGTTTCTTGACTGTTAGTATAATATAAGTAGAATTAATACTTCACCGTAGCAGCAATACCGCTACCTGCTACATCGCTATACCATTTTCGGGGTCGGCCGCTACCGGCCGCTAACTGCTACTGACAACTATGGAATCAAGTTGAGTAAGTCAAGGTTCAATACATCATTTCTTGAAGCTTTTCCATTGTACCAATTCATTGCATGTATTGGGTATTAAGGTTAGTTATTCCACACAAATAAAATCATAAAGATGTAGCTTGTTAGAATCTTGAGTACAAGGAATTATCGTTCTGGAGCTACACCAGTTTACTGTCTCCTTTTCCAATGTTAATATTTTTTAACAAATTGAACCTACAAATATTAGAGCAATTTTAAAATTGGACCTCCAAACGTAGTTATCTTCCTAACCAAATACCAAAATATATAATAACCAGTAACCCCATCTACTACTATGTAAAAAGAAAAAAAGAGGCTCCATCAACCTCCAAGCACTGCACATAATAACTACTGGCTGCCAACCTTAAAATAGAGAAGTTGAATGAATAAATCCCACCTATGACAGACTACGAAGCAGTCCACCCTCCATTTTCCTGTCAAGTTTCCAAACACACCCTCAAGGTACTTTTTCTCTCAAATGCAAATCTCCAAAGTCGGTTTTCATAAAGGGTTATTATTACGGCATTTGCCACAGTCTATGCCTAACTACAGATATTCTGGATAAATAGTCCTGAATTCTGAGAGAAGTGTGAAGCACGGGCATCAGATGAGCAGTATATATAAAGGTTATACAAAAGGCAATCTATTTCCATGGGTATGAGTAGGAGACATGCAGACTAGAGGAAAATTGCTTCCTGCATGTTAGCAAATTCACATAGTCATTAACAATCAACAAAGAGGGGGTTCAGCACAGAGTTTCTACCCATATTTTTCATTTTATCTACTGCTATAAAGCTCATCCTCTGCGCAGGGTCCAAGAAAGGGTCTATAGTAGGCAGCTAATTACATGAATCAACCCCATGACATCCGGATCACATGGCAAAATGCGGGAGTATATAGTGAGGTGTGTATAGAATGATGGAGACATGCAATCTTTCAGGTCTTCATAACATGCAGGCATCAATGATGGAGACAGTTAGAATGGAGCACATTGCAAATATAGTAAACCACAAGGTCTGGCTTGGTTGGGAAACTGAGCTCCATTTAGGTGAACTTCAGTGCAGCGCAGGGGTTCAAAATCCCCTAGAAGCCAATACCCAAGCAAGGACTAGTTCTACACCCAAAGTGTGTAGGGACATCTCGTCATCTTAACCCCCTAAAAAAGTTTCAAATATAGTACAATTCTTGGGATTTTGCCTTCACGGGCATCCTCGCTGTCTTGTACAACTGAAGATATCAGTCTACCTTGGATTAGTTTGATCAACATATAACTAGAGCCAGAACGATGAACTAACAATATTACGAGGACAAAAAACTATAATACAAGATAATGCTTTGTTACCTTTACAAAGAAATACAGGACCTGTATTATATATATACTGCATATTACTACTCCTCAAAACTTAAACTAATGACCTCCAACATAACGAGGAAAATACCACTTAAAAACAAAAAGCAACACTGATGTAGACTGCCATGCTAAGCAAGTAAAGAATGCAAACTACTAAATAGTCCAATCAACATTTTTATAGTCTAATTTTCAGATTTGATATTTACAAGAAGAAGAGGCCTAAGAAGTAGAACCACTTACCAAGCCAGTATAAAACCAGAAGGTCTTAGTAACACCAAATAATATAAATATTTGGAAACACATACTCTTCAAATTAGATAGCAGTTGACAACAACTTTGAGAATATAATGGTAAAAACTAATTTCAGATAACAAGTTAATTGCCTCCATAAATGAATACCTCAAAGGATAAGATTATTCAAGTAAGCGTGATTAGAGGAATGCTGAAATATAATATTTCAGTGCTCTACTTTCATAAACAATACCACTGATAGATGCCAAAGACTATTCAAATTTTATGAGATAGAAACATATCGATTCATACCTCACAAAGCCATTATTGTCTATGTCTGCAGCAAGAAACTCAGAAACAGTCATATCCTGACCAAGAATCCACTTTGCCATCCTCCTATGCCGCTTATCCACTCTTGCCTCAGCCAAAAAGAGGAATGCTCGTGCCACAGCAAGCGTCGACACAAGCAACCAAATTGCAGCAAAGATACGACCATGCAAGGTCTTGAATGCATGGTCTCCATACCCAACAGTTGTAACAGACATAACAGAAAGATAAAAAGAATCTATCCATCCAAGCCTTTCCACAAAATGCATAACCCCCACACCAACTCCAATACAAAGTACCACAACACCCAAAGCCAGTGCGACCTTCATCCTAATCCTCATCCTCCCTTTCTTCACATCAATTATATATGACTTCCCATCCTTCTCTCCCCTACTCTTCACTGTCCTCAACAAATGATTCTCCTGCAAATCAAGAACATAACTAACCATCCCACTGAGCAATATGTCTATGAAACCAAAACCCACTAACACAAACAATATAGAGAAAAGCTTCGTGGCTGTACTATTTGGAGTAATATCACCATAGCCTATTGTACACATTGTAACTATACAAAAATACAATGCATCCACTATAGGATGAGTCTCAATTGCTGTAAAATTATGACGATTGAACCAATAAATGACCACCCCCAATGACAAATAAATAACAAGAAGAATAACAGCCTGATGAATAATAGATTGGCTAACAAATTGGGGTCTTCGCTCAGGGGATTGGGGATTGAAATCGCTGATCACAGCCATAGCAGGTGCAGTTTTGGAGCGATGGAGGTTCTTTTTGTGCCATGGATAATTGGGGTCAATGAGCCAAGAGGAATGTTGTTGTTGTTGGGAATCTAAGAGTGGTGATGCAAAGTCTTGTGAAGAAGAAGAAGAACAAGAGGGTATTGAGGAATTAAGGGAAAGTGTTAAGGCATCAACCAAAGGTGAAGAAGGGTCATTCGGGGAAGCAGAAGAAGGACCAAATATTAATCGATCCTTGAAATTAGAAGGGGTAACAGGAAGATGAATCTCATCATTCTCTGGCAATGGAAAAAGCTGAGAATGCAATGGCGTAGGAGGCATCTTTCTGGGGCTGAAATATGGGAGCAGAGGCTCCTTTTCCGATTGGGTCATCCGTGAAAGCGATTCTTGGGATTTCTTTGGGTGCAGAGAATTGCTTAACACAAGAAGAAAAGGGGTTGGCTTTGAAAGATGAAACGGTTTTCCAGATATGGGTCGGTTTCAGAACAGAGGAAAACACAAAGAGATGCATGTGGGAAGGGAAACATAGTGAGAACAGAGAAAAAAAATTTAGGATTTCGTTACAGTTTGTGTCTTTGTGATGAGGAACGTTATGTGTAGAGAAAGAGAGCAAAGTGGCAACGGAAGTTAAAACAGAGAGAGAAAGAGAGAGAGAAATTGGAGGTAGAACCGTAGAAGAGGTTGACGTGGAAGGTGACAATGATATGTATGATTTTGAGGTACCACTAATTTTCAGAGGAAAATGCTACACTCACGCGCTCCTCGGTGGACTCGTGGGGGAGTGGTTCAAAATGAAATCGTTATGAGGGGCGGTAACTCCGGGATAGGACTTATCCGTCGTCATGTGACTGAATCAGACCGGTGAAAACTACGTCAAAAACTACTGTTTTTTTTTTTTTTTTTTTTTTTATAGTAACAAAGAGATAATGTTCGGCACTATGAAAAAGGGAAAATGGTTGGAAACTGAAAATTCAATCAATCACTTATTAAAAAGTAATAATGATTCACTTGACTGTAATTACTTTACTCGTTATTTTATCGTTAATATTGTACGAGTCTCATTTATTCGACTTATAAAATAAAAAACTATTTAATTAAGGGAGTACTAAAACAGATAGAAATTAGTAATTTAGTTTCCAATATAGGTTGAGTAAATAGAGAGAGAATATGATTCAATTCTCACTGATGTATCCACTATAGTTATCTCGTACCCCTTTTTCTTTCCTTATAATTTTGTTTACTATACTTGCTACCGTAGCATTATAAACATTATTATTATTCTTGTAATTTCATTCATAATTTCGATTATGGAATTATTAATGAAACTCAATTTCTATAAATAATAGAGTGAGAGGTAACGAAGATAAAATACGAGCTTGTTTTATAGCAATCGTAATTAATCGTTGTTGTTTTAAGGTCAATCTATTCACACGTCTAGATAATATTTTTCCTTGTTCACTAATAAATCGACTAATTAAACTCATGTTTTTATAATCACTTATGTTTCACAATTTTTTAATTCCATTTGCCAATTTAGAATTGATTCTTCTTGGATACAAATTATGATAATGTATATTATTCCTCGAATCGTTCGTACCTTCATCCGGCTTAGTTACACCAAATAAAAATAAAAAAAGTGGTTTCCGCTTTCAAATTCTATAAAACCTAAAGCCACGAACCATAGAGTACTTATCACTGGTGCCACAGAGAGATATGTTTTTATATCCCGCATTTCGAATCCTCCTTCTTTTTAGTCTTTATTGTAATTTTAAATGCATAATTACATACAGTAATACGATTTGATGACTATTTCGTTAATAATCGTTTATATTTGTCGGCAGGATTACCAATTCAAATGGAAATGTACTTGACATGTACGATGATTCATTAGATATTTCATTTAACAAAGAGTTTTGGAAGTTGAAAGAAAAGTAAAAGAAAGAAGGAATCAAAGAAATCACTTGATTTATTTCGTCTAGGCGGCGCAAATTTCACAAAACACCCTTATGAATTTTGTTAGGACATTATTTAAATTAATAAATTTAACGATCTCATCGAAAACTTACAGCAGCTTGCCAAACAAAAGCTAAGAGAAAAAAGAGTAAGGGTATTACTGGCATAATATCTACAACTGGATTCAAAAAAGCGCAGGCTTTTTTTTTCATTTTAAATACTTTTCAATCTTTTTTGATTATATAAATAGAGAATAGAGGATAGGCTCATTATAGAAAAAAAGATATGGAAATTTTCTAACAGGGCTACCGTACAGCAGTGGCGGACTTAGAGGTGTTAATATAAGTTATGACGCGTGGGTCAATTCACGACACGATACGAAAATTCGTGTTCAGGTTGACCCGTAAAAAAATTCGTGTCATGTTCGTGTTAGGAAAAATGACACGTAAAAAATTCGTGTCGTGTTCGTGTCGACCCATATTTTTTTTTAATTTTTTTATTTTATTTTTTTATTATTATTTTTTTAAAAAAAATAATTTTGAACCATTTTTTTAATTTTTTTTGTCAATTATTATTTTGACCCCTATTTTGCGTGTTATTTGTGTCGTATCGTGTCAACCCGCAAAAAATCTGTGTCGTGTCAGTGTTGAAAATTTTGACACGAATAAAAATTTGTGTCGTGTTAGTGTTGACATATTCATGTCGTTTCAAATTCGTGTCGTGTCAAATTCGTATCGTGTCAACCCGTTTTGACACCCCTAGGCGGACCTATTTGGTTGCCGACGTACGTAAGTGTACACATAAATTTAATCATATATTTTTTTTAATAAAGAAGAGATGTATTTTTTAATTAATTAGGAGTGTCACTCAAGGAGCAATTTTAATGGCTGTATTGTCAGGAATACAAACACAGATACTAAGAAAAAAAACACATCTTATTTACTACTTATGTTTTAGTGATTTTATATCATTAAGTTGATTACTATTTTTTTATGTTAAGTTCAAGTTTTCTTTTCTTTTGTTGTTTGAGAATTATCTCTCTCATATTATATGAACAAAATTTTTTGTCAAGTTATATAATATTAAAGAAAGTGAGATGACATATTATTCAATGAATTGGTCTTTTTTTTTTAACATGACAAAAAAATTTAGTTCATGTAACATGATGGATATAAATTTCTTTTTGTTTATATTCTTTTATTTTTTAATGCATTTAAAACTTTGTTTAATTTTTTTTTCGAAGGCACTGCTCCCAAATCTCCTCCACTAAATATTCACACATAAATAAAATTTTCTAGGCCCGCTACTGCCGCCCAGCTTACATTAGAAGAGGCTCGACTTATTACATATAATCAAATAGAATATGCTTTGACTTTTTAAAAAAATCTATTTAGAAAATAGACTCACTATAGCTCAGGCAAGTAGGACCTGGCGAGATCAGCTGCTCAGAACGATTTGACCATCATATGAACCAATAACTAAATGATAGCACCAGCTTGCAGCGACATCTACAAGGGCGTAGCCCTATCATATGCATCTCGCCACAACGTAGCCTATGAAAGACTATTACTCTTCACCAATGGGTTTTGTTCTTTCACTAAAGCTCAATTGGGCCTAATGTGTAAGAAAAGCCCAATAAATCTAGAGTCTATTCAGCTTAAGGATAGGGTTTCTTGAAACTCATATATATTCTACACTTATAGTCATCAGTCTCCTAGTCTTCATTTTATGTTTACAGAGTCTGAGGTAAGGTTATCTCCTTGATAGTGATAGAATGATCACACATCAGCCCGATTTCTCCTTGAGAGATAGTCTGGAAGTTCTGCCAGAAGTCATCCTCTACAAGGTGGTTGTTCGTGTTGGGACGCAAACTAGACCAGTTCGTGAAGGATCGTCTCAGATCTGCGCTACAAGAGATAAATATAAAACGATGATGATCCGTTGCAGTTTAGAATGGAACGGTCTAAACGCTTCCACGTATCCAATTGTTCCTATAACATTGTCATACAAAAACGGCATAAGCAAGGCATCCCTTCACTATAAATATGGAGGCATTCAGCCCAGATAAAATTATCTATCTATCAATACTTGAACTACTTAAATATTGAATTGACTTAAGCATCAAAGTGCATTACAAGTACCCCCTTCAATTTTCTCAAACTGCCAAAATATCAACACACAAGCTCAACCATCTCGCAAGAGTAGCAAAGTCATCTCACTAGTATCAGTCATCTCGTAGAGTATACCACAACTCATACTCTTATCAACAGTACCAGGTTTAATGAAGTATGATCCAGCCCAATTGTTATTGGACTGATCAAGTCGTGAGAGTTAATCATATTCAAATATATGAACAAACTAAGCCAAGCAGATCTACTCACTATCAAAATCCAACCTATTATGTAAAATTACAAAATAAAAATATTTTTTCATAGTATTTTATTAAATAATCACCGATCCTTTTATTTATGATATTTTGACTGATGTAATGAGACATCATAAATATTAAACGAACTAATTCTTTTGACAAATTATTTATCATTATAATGTGAGTAAAACATGCATAGAAATGTATGTATTTAAGTCGTGTCACATCTCCGTACGCACAAGTTGTGTAAAATGAATGCTTCTCATACGTGTCTTGCAAAGAGTGACATGTACCATATACGTTTTGAATTTTGCACAAATCGCCGTAAGATAATAAACAACTCGCATTAAATTAGAAATAACTTGCCAAAAGAATATATCCCGTAAAAAATTTCTACTTTCGCATTACATCATTTGACTTTCTTCTAGAGAATCCCTACCTACTCAAATAGTCAACATACTGAAAATAATCAAATATGTTTGTTATTTAACAATGCTGATGAAGCTGTCCATCCGCGTTTACATTGGATACGAATTGTTTCTCTGTAATACGTATGATTTTAACATTATAGTATTAATAAGTCTAGGGAGAGCCGAATCACACAAAAAGACAAATCATTGAAAGCGAAATCAAAATTATATTGCAGTCCGTAAGATTAAGGGATTAAATTAATGTCACTATGTCATGCTAACGTATTATGATAGTTAATAGATTGAATTAGTATTTTTTTTTTATCGTTAAAGAGTTAAATTGATTGGAAGACTAAATTAATATCACTTTTTCATCATTTATACAATCGTAGTTTTTATTTTTATTTTTATTTTTTTGGAGACATCATAGTTTATCATAGTTTATTTTTAAAATATAATTTTCTATCCAAAATTCTTGTATTTCAAACTATTTGATTGAAACTAACTTTAGGGGGTATATTGGATAGGATTTTAAAAGACTTTGTTGAGATAAAAAAATCTTACAGATTTTAAAAGATATTTTAAAATTGGAGAGACTTTAAAAACTTTTTTAAAAGACTATTTTTACAATCAAAATTTGATAAAATTGGATTTTAAAGGATTTTAATAGAATTTATAAGATTTGAAAGGATAATATGAATTTATAAGATTTTAAAAAATCGTATGAATTTTTAACAAACATTCAAAGTTACAAGAGTCAATAAAAAAAATAACAAAGAAATATAATGAAATTAATAAAAAAAAGTAAAACCTAATATAATTTTCTCAATCAGTAAACATAATATAA